GTCTCCCGAGCAGGCTTGAAAACCCGCCGAGAATCGTACGATTTTCGGCGGGTTAGTGGCGCTCTCGGGAGACAAATGCCGCAACCGCCCACTACCCGCTCAGCATGGGAATCATCGGAGGGCTCAGCATGGGAATCATCACTCAGCGGGTCGGTCTTGCGATGATCACATGTACGATCTGCCTGTCCAAGATGGGCAGATCGTACAAGCTTTTAATTACCTTACAACCATCGCACGATTGAAAGTCGTGCGATGTTTGTAAGGTGTATGGCCAGCTTTACTCTATATTTAACCCCTTCATGACTGAGCTAGTTTTCAGTTTCTGTTCATAAATGACTGACACACTTTTTACATTTTTGCTGTAATATACTTTCTTACTAAATGTACGCATACATATTATATATTGTTTTTTAGAGGACAGATAGGTACACCCTAACGCCTCACTTAGTTTGAATAAAATATAAAAAGGCCCGGTTCACACCTGGGCGTGCGATTTGCGGTCCACAAAACGCGCGTCAAACGCAAGTTTACAAGGGCTATGCCTTTACCTGTACCAAATGGATATGCGCGGAAATACGCCCCAAAGAAGCTCCTGTACTTCTTTGGGCGTAGGGCCAACGCGCTGAAATACGCCCGGGTGGGAACCATGCCCATAGGAAATAATGGGATCTCACTTGCTGGGCGTTTTACAGCACGTCGATCAGTGCAGTAAAACGCCCAGGGGTGAACCCGGCCTAAAGGTCTTTGATCGTGTCCAGACGTTCAGAAGTGATACATTTCAGGCACAGAGATACATTGTATCTCTTGTATCTCTTTGCCTGTAATGTATCATAAACATCGGGCTATCGAGTTGTCAAAACAAATAGCAGAGAGGTGAGTCACTCTGCTACCTCTCTGCTATTTTCAGCTGTCAAATTCGGGATTGCTATTTAGCGCTCCCGTATTTGCATGTAATGGCTTCATTCTTTCATTAATAAAAGAAAGAGGCTTTTACATAAGGTTAACTATTTAATTAATGACTGGTAACCGCTGAGAATCAGCTGTTACCGGCATTACAGAGCCTTAAATAACTAGTCACGTACAGTGTACGTGGCCAGTCATATAGGCACTTTGTGGCGGGTAGTGTACGTCTCCCGTCACGAAGGGGTTATTGGGTGACATCGCCTGTTCATAATGAAAAAAATCACGCTCCCATGAATTGTAAAATACATCATGTGTCTTGTTTATACTGGAAAGTGTTCCTGGAACTGTACAAATAACAAGGGCTTTAGAAACTTAATTAGAAACATAGTAAAAGAAATGTTATTGCAAGTTTCACTTTATTGCAGTGTTGTGGTTTGTGAAGGACGGGTTATATGTAGAACATCCAGTAAAAAAACAGCTAGCTCTGTGTAATTATATTATGAGAGGATGGAATTTTACAGATCATATATCGTAGTCTTTTGTTTGATAACTCAATCATATTTCAACTGGTTGTAAGGAAAGCCAGTCTGTGAAAAATCATATCTTAACTGTCCCTCATTTGGAACCAATTCCTCTGTCCCTCTTTCCTCCTCAGTTGTCCCTCTCTTTGGTCTGATGTACAGATATCTAGGAAAACTTTCCATTTAAAAGTGACACCAAACTCTGGAGTTATCCCTTAAAAATACATTCAAGTACCCTAACTATTAACAAACATGTATCTTATTTGTGTATCACTCAGTGTAGATCCTCAAATCATCTCTGAATTGGTGCTGACACTGTCCTTCCTTCTGGAGGGTGGCTACTTTTTTCCCCCATGGTCCCTGTGTGTACTCCAAACGTTACATCTTTCAATTTTCCTAATGTATACAAATTTAGAAACTCATGTAAGGTGAATATATTTCCTCCTTGATATTCTTTAAGTCAAATTGGTTTTGCCTTGTAAGTCCGAAGCAATAAATAAAAAACGGAATACTATATGCCGATAACTGTATGTGGTTAATATATATAATAATGTAGCACCCTGCTGGTAAGAGCGCTATTAAACTTAGTGCTGTCAGATTGTATGCAGTCTGATGCTGGTTCAGGTTCATTTAGTTTCCCCTAAACAAGCTGTCATTTTTTGCATCTGTCTGCTGCTAGGTGAACTGCAGGGTATAGAAAATGGTAACCGCATACATTTATAACCAGCCTTGGTAGCAGGGTGCACGTGGGAAGGCTTACAACAATACAAAACACCAAAAGAATCCCCAGCACACCTGCCAGCTAGCTTGCAACAAAACAAGTTGCCTTCTATATATTTTTGGCCTAAGGTTTGTGCAACTAAAACCTCTGTTTTTAACTCATACTGTTGACAGGGTAACTTGTTTTGTTGCAGGCTAGCTGGCAGGTGTGCTGGGGATTCTTTTTGGGTTTTGTAGTACTGCAGGGTGTGCCTGGTCACAGAACAGAGCAACCATTGGGATTGCTACGAGTAGATATCCCTCTCCAGCCAATCACTGTTAGATGATGGCTGGTGGTGCATGTTGGGGGAGGAGATAAATACTTGGGGTGGACCATGTGAGTTTTCTCTTCCTCCCCCGGGCTCAGCCTGTGCGGAGGCTGCTGTGGATTGGCTAAGATGGCTATGCCTGAAGCCTGGGGACTAGCCGAGTGGTTACACTGGAGCTTGATGGGAGCAGGCACAGTGGTTACTACTGATGACAAGGACTAGTAACTTCTACCTTAAGTTTTCTTGTGTCAGGTGTTCTACTTGTTGTGCATGGAGACAGTAACCACACTGCAATGTAATGGAGTCTACATCTTCCTGGATGATCCTAACCCTCCACCTCTCTCTCTCTCTGAAGTTCTACAATAAAAGTTTCATATCTACAGTCTGGACATCACGTCAATTGATCACCATGGGGCAAAAGCGAGTGAAATTACCCCCTAGACAAGAAGAATTCGTAGTTGCAGTAACTCATAGCAACCAACACTAGTACTCAAGGTGTGCTAGTGTGCTGTGGATCCATTATACCTCTATAACTTGCTTACAGAGGAAACACAGGGAGACCCATTAATTCTTTTACTGTAGATCACCCCTTAGGAGCCAACGTTAGTGTTATCCTGCATTGGTATATCGCTGACCGAGTAAGGGGGACGCTACAATAAATATTGAGCTCCTTTTTATTTCCCATGCCATTATTAATTTTTTCCACATTTACATGCAGGCCAAGCTGCCAGGCAGGAGTGACATTGACAGACGTTGTAACAAACCAGAACACTGCCAGGGCAGTTGTAACAATAATTAACTGCCTCCGGGCCGGCCGTAGTAAAAAAACGGCCGGCCAGGAGCTCTCTCGATCTGAGCGGGCGTCTCTAGACGTCCGCATTGCAAGTATTTTAAGTCCCCTCTAGCAGTTTATTCCAAACTCTGTCACTGTCACTTTAGATGGACAGCTTGGTCTGCATGTAAATAAGGGGATAAATGTAAATGAAGCTATGTGAGGTAAGAATGTATTAATTATACAGATTACTATAATTACATGTGCTAATCACATAAATGTATAATCGTACATGTGCATTTGTTTGCATCAGAACTGCTTTTCTTCTCATACAAGACAAAGGGGATGTAAAAGCATTGTAATAGCTTGATGCAGCTTAGACTGAGATCAGAAGCAGGTCAGATGCACTGCTGCAGAAACTCATATGAAACACAAGGTGAAAGCACCTAAACACATGCTATGTTACCCATCCACACAAATTCTTCTTAGAATACAATCTGTGGAATTCATAAAGACTGTTGCAGACATCTTTTTGAATTCTGGCACACACTCACACAACACATGGTGCAACAAATTAATTTACCTGTTGGTAACACATACATGAACTTGTCACAAGGAGTCATGATAGGGGGCAGCACTCAGGCCAGTGTGTCTATAGGAGACACTCTGTTCTCAGCACAATGCTGCACAGCATCACTGGTTGCTATGGTCTGTGGAGCCGACCAACCAATGATGCTGTGCAGCCACAGCATCCTTGCAACCTGTGATGTTGTGAAGCCTGCAGTGTCCTAACAACCAATGATGTTGTGCAGCCTACAGCGCCCTAACAACAAATAATGCAGTGCAGCGTGTAGGGTCCTAGCAAATAATTACGCTGTGCAGCCTACAGCATCCTAGCAACCAATCATACTGTGCAGCCTACAGTGTCCTAGCAACCAATGATGCTGTGCCGCCTACAGCATCCTAGCAACCAATGATGCTGTGCAGCCTACAGCATCCTAGCAACCAGTGATAGGCAAGGGGGTGGCGCATGCAAACATGCCCTGCTCTTTACTACTGACACTCAGTATTCACCGAGTGACTCCATTGTGAGCACTGTGTCCAATCTCCATACACCAACAGAGAGTTGGTCCATATTACTTGCAGTTTCCTTATCGCAACCATAGTGACACATTGTGAAAGTGGAGCACATAAGAACTACCTGAGAATTGCAAGGCTTTCATAATTTAGGTGCAGGACTTTTTAATGCGCCCATACCACCAAAAAAATTTTGCAATTTTTTTATGAAATCGCTTCCCATTCTTGTGATGGGGTCCTTAAAGGTAAATCGGATAAATGAAATGATTTGCTTATTGGACACCGCCGGTACACCTTCTAGGGTAATGTGTTGTAAATTACAGTGACTGATTTACCACCATGGAATGTTTGATGAAAGCCACATTCTTTGCCATATGTTTGTGCACTGTACAAATTTTTGCTTTATGAAATAATCCTGGACAGCTCAAAATGGCAAGATAATTACGGTTAAAGTAAAATGAGGGACTGTAACAGTGAAGCAAATGTTAATGTCAGGTTGACCAATATTTGAGATCAGGGGCATTTTAAGAGACAAATGCTGTGACTGTCCCGGGAAATTAGAGTCAGTTGTGGAATTCGTCATTTCTTTGCTTGTTAGCCTGGATAGGAAAGCCAGTCCTCCTTGTAAACACATTGCCAAGCATTGCTACTTCTAGGAGTAGTTTAACTTGATTCCGTTTGTGTCTTTTGAACCTGTAGGGAACAGCGCAGAGGGAGTTAGAATACAAAATCAGATCTGCGGCCAACCTGGAAGAGCTTCTTCGTTTAACTCACCCCAGAGAGCTGAAGTTGTGGAGGTGTCGGTCGAAGCTCAAATCCTACATCAACACTGACACCAGATCTGGGCCTCATCGTTCCACCCGATTTGCTGCAGCCTTCTATGATATTGAAATACTAACAGGTAACGAGCAATAACATAATATAAATGGTGTCCTTAAAGTGAAGCTTTAGCCAAAACAGTTTTTTAAAATTTTGGATAGAGTGGGGAAGTTTTTTCAAGTTGCTTTTGTGAGATTTCCTCTTACATCCTGTGTGGTCGCAATTAAAGCACTCTTGTAAAGTGGGAAGGGTTAGGACCCGTGTCCTATTTTTATTTTGCTTTTTAGTCCCCATTGGGGTGATTCTCCTTTCTTCTTGTGTGATCACCCAGAGAAGATTCGACGGGAAATGCACAGACAGCAACTAAAAATCCTAACTCAAGCCGTAAAATAAATTACATTTTAAAGAACAGATTCATCTTTTCAGGGCTCAAAATTTCAAGTCTTGAGCTACTAGCCAGGCCTTAAGAGTTACTAGCCACCAGTTGCCCCACCTAACCCCTACCGTGCCCCGGCCTTAACTCCGCCCCTAAACACACCCTCTTAAATAATCTTATGATAATTCTTATCTTATGATAGTTGCCGCTTGTAAACAGCAGATTAGGGATTCCTGCTGCAACGCAAGTTCCTGACACACACCTAATCACACCTGAAATATACTGTAGGTGTGAATGAGGCCTAATATATACATACACTAAAGGTGATCCCGCGATCGTACGATAATCGGCAGGTATATGGGCAGCATGCGACCGCTTCTACTGTAAGGTCGTACGACTTTCATCTTCCTAGCACACTAGAAAACCTGCTGGAAATCGTACGATTTTTGGCGGGTTGGTGGCGTGGTCGGAAAGGTGAATGCCGCACGGGCCGGTGTGCGCAAGCACACACTGCCCGCTCAGCACTGCAATTATCAGAAGCCCTCCCCTCTGCGGGGAGGGCTTGCGATGATCGCATGTACGATCTGCCTGTCAAAGATGGGCAGATCGTACGAGATTTTAATGACCTTACAACCATCGCACAACGAAAGTCGTGCTATGGGTTGTAAGGTGTATGGCCAGCTTAAAACACAATAATACACTTCTCAACATTACACACCCCCCACAAATATAATAATACAATTCCCCCCGCACACAAAAAAAATAATACACTCCCCTTTATAAGCCCCCCAACACATAAAATAACCCCCCCTTATTAAGCCCCCAACCACACATAAAATAATACACTAAATACCCCCGAGCCCCCTCACCTGTTCACGTATTTGCAGGGAGGAGGCTGTGAGCAGGATCGATCCCTGGTTATCTGGGGGTGATTAGTGAGGTCCCCACATACATCCTTTCTTTCGGCCGGAGCTCAGAACTGTCAGAGCTCCGGCCGAAGGAAGCTGGAGCTGAAAGGAGCTTCTCTGCGGTCTGCATCCGACCCAGATGCAGACCGTGGAGCTGCTCCCGCAAGTCAGGTACGTGGTCTGCGACCGTGTGCCTGACATGTCAACTGCCTGCGTGCCACATAATACCTTCTCACGGGCCGGAGTTGGCCTGCGGCCCGGTACTTGGAGACCAAAATTTCCAATTTTGAGCCCTGATCTTTTCATATTTTTCTTTCATGCAACCCAAACTTTGTGTAAAGTTTACATAGGTCCAGGTCTAAAGTGACAAAGACTTGGACTAGAGCACAGCACCACGGTCTCTTATTATCTTAAAGCTAAACTCCAGGCCGATAAATACACACACGTGTATTTATATATGTG